ACGAGCGGTACGCGGTCTGTTCCAAGGCCGCCTCAGGTGCCCCCCTTGCGACATTCCCCCGGGACCCTATGTCTGGCCTGTTTACGCTGGACATTGCTCCCCCCCCGGCGGGCGAGTCCCCCTTCCGTCATGCGTCCACCCAGGTAGCTGCGGCCTGCTCGTGTCGGTCGCTCACTCACCCGTCCCTGTTGTGGCACCACCGTCTAGGTCACCCCGAGCTCCCCCGCCTGCGTTACATGTCTCAGCACAGTCTAGTTCTCGGCCTCCCTGCGTTGCTCCCTACTCTACCTCCCTTGCCTGCGCCGCCGTGCACGCCCTGCGTCGAGGGCCGGCTACGCCGTGCTCCTCACTCCTCCTCACCTCGCCCTGCCACTGCACCCCTTCAAACCCTGCACTTGGACTTCTGGGGCCCAGCCCCTGTCCCTGGGCCGTGTCGCGAGCGCGACTTTCTTGTGCTCGATGACGACTTCACGCGCTACACCACGGTGTTTCCCCTGGAGCGGAAGGCCAACGTGCCTGATTTTCAAATCCCGTGGCTAGTCACTGCGTGCCTCCACCACGGTCTTCCTGTGCTGTGTCTCCACTCCGACCGTGGCGGCGAGTTCGCCTCTGGTCGGCTGGGTCAGTTCTGTCGTGCGGAGGGTATAACCCAAACGTACAACCTACCGGACTCCCTGCAGCAGAATGGGATCGTTGAGCGATGCATCGGTTTGGTCATGGAGGTGGCTCGTACCTCCATGATCCATGTCGGTGCACCCCATTTTCTGTGGCCGTTCGCCGTTCGCTACGCCGCTCACCAGCTTAACCTCAGGCCTCGCTCTTAGCGGCCACAGGTTTCGCCGACCCACCTTTGGACCGGGTTCCCTGGTGCCGCGTCTGCGTTCCACGTCTGGGGCTGCCTTGCTCACGTTCGTGCCTCCGGCGCGGACAAGCTCATTGCCGCAATGTCCTCTGTGTCTTCCTCGATTTCCCCCTTGACTCGTCTGACTGGCACTTCTACCACCCGCCGTCTCACCGCTTCCTTCACTCCCGTGACGTCACTTTCGACGAGTCTGTCTCGTTTTTCCACCGCTTTCCTCACCGAGGTCTCTCGGTTTCCCCTTCCATGTTTCTGGTTCCCACTCTCTCGGTCGCCCCTGCTCCCCTCCCTCCCCGTCCTTCTCCGTCTAATGTGTCTGACGTCACTCCCCTCCCGTCAGTTGTCCCGGTCGAGGAGTCGGCTGACTCCGGTGGCCCCGCGTCGCAGTCTGTGCCGCCTGCCCCTCCCTCGGTGTCTCCTCCTCCCTCGTCGCAGTCGCCGCTGCAGGCGTAGTCTTCGCCGCAGCCGCAACCGTCGTCGCAGCCGCAGCCGTTCGTGGACTCTGTGGGTGCTGGAGTTGGAGAGGGTGCTAGTCCTGGGGCTCCTGTCGTGGCTTGTCCCGGCGGGCTCGGGGGTGGCACCGGTGCTGGAGACGTTTCTCGTTCTAGGAATGCTGGAGTGGAGTGTACCGGAGGTAGCACTGGTGTAGTTGGTGGTCCAGGTGTCGGCGTTGAGCAGCAGCAGCAGCAGTCGCCGCCAGTGTCCACCCTTTGCCTGCTCGGCCTTCCCTCCCCTGACTGCTCGCCTGCGCCTCCCTCGCCGTCTCCCCCTCTTCCTCTTCACGGTCCTGTGTTTCCTCCGCCGGACTCGTCCCCGGCTTGTTTCCCCTCTCGTTCCCCTCCTGTTACTCCTCCTCTGTCTCCTGACCTGACGCCTCCATCTCACGTCTGGTCTCGCCGTACCTCTCGTGCTTGTCCTGTCTCTCCTGTTCAGCGTTCTCACCCAATGTTGCTTCGTTCCCACGCATCTCATCCTCCCCGTTCGCCTTCGCCTCCTCCATCATTGCTCACTGTTGCGCCTCCCCCTATGTCTGACTACCTTCGTGCTGCTCGTCCTCTTGTTCCTCGGGTCCTTGCCTCCGTCGTTACCGACCAGTCTGTTCCTATCTCCAGTCTTGATGCTCTTGTAGCTGCTGTCGCTTACCTTGCCTCTACTCGCCGCCTTGACTTCGCTACCGCTCTGGTCTCTGACCATGTCTGTCCTCCATCCGTCGGGGGTGCTCCTACCCTCGGCAGTGACGTCTTGGAGGACCGGCAGTACGAGCTTGCTTTCCTATCAGATGAAGCGCCCCTCTGCAGAGCCGCCTGTGTTCAAGGCGCGCTACGTGGCTAGAGGCTTGAGTCAATGAGAGGGGGTGGACTTTTTTCAGACCTACGCCCCGACCCCGAAGATGACTACACGCTCTCTGCCAGTAGACCACAAGCTCTCAGCTCCAGTTCCCGAGGAGTCAGCAGAGCCCAGTGGTCCCTACGCAGAGCTGGTGGGTTGCCTCATATACCTGATGAGTTGCACTCGCCCAGATCTCGCATACCCTCTCACCATTCTGGCTCGTTTTGTGGCCACAGCTAGACACCGACCACAGCACTGGTCGAATGCTAAGAGGGTTTTGTGTTATCTTGCAAGTACATCGGGCATGGGGCTAGTGCTGGGAGGACGCAGGCCAGTGGTCCTTACTAGGCACACAGACGCTTCTTAGGCAGATGACACTGAGACCCTCAGGTCCTCCCAGGGCTATTGCTTTAGCCTTGGTTCTGGTGCCATCTCGTGGAGGTCCACTCGCTCCTCGTCTGTTGCTCAGTCTAGCTGCGAGGGTGAGATCTACGCTGGTGTCATGGCAGCACAGGAGCTCCGCTGGCTGACCCTCTTGCTTGCCGACTTAGGTGATCGGCCTAGCTCTACCCCGGTTCTATACGCTGACAACAGGCCCATGATCCTCCTGCGTCAGGAGCATCGACTTGAGGGCACAGTGAAGCACATCTAACTGCGGTACTTCCTCCTGCGCGAGCTTCAGCAGCGTCGCCAAGCCCGCGTAATACACTTAGCCTCCGGTGCCTACACAGCTGATATCTTTGCTAAGGCGCTTCCACCTAGAGATCATCAGCAGCACTGCTTTCAGTTAGGTCTAGTCCCTATTGACTCTCACTTGCTAAGCCATTGATTGTGTACTCCTTTTATTTATGCCTTCCAGACTTGCCTTGTGGCTTTTCCTCAAGTGGTTGGACTAGTAATGCCGCCCTGGTTTGCTCTGTCTTGCTTGTACTCTTGCTGATTGATCTGCAGGCCCCTGCCTCTGAGGTTGGACTAGTAGTGCCACCCTGAGCTGCGTGTTTCTTACTCAGCACTACCCCTTATCTAGCCTAGGGGGTGTGTCAACTTATACATATATTATTATATAGAAGTTATAGACTAGATAGGGTATGTTCTTAGTGGGTACAAACCAAATGCTATATCTCCCGTGTTCTCCCTTCTTCTAATCATTCTTTCTAGTCTTAACAGTGACGTCCTAGAGGACGGGCAGTACGAGCTTGCTTTCCTGTCTGAGGCTGCTCCCCATCTCTGTTCCATGCTGCTAGTCCCTGAGGGTGACCCAGTCGCCTTGGATATTCCGACCCCTCGCACTTACGCAGAGGCGACCTCGGGGCTCTGTTTCCTTAGTGGATAGCTGCCATGGAGCAGGGAATGGCATCTTGGAGATCCACTAGCACCTACGTCGACGCAGTTCCCCCACCTGGGGTGAATGTAGTCGATGGTCGGTGGCTCTTCAAGGTGAAGCGCCCCCCTGGAGAGCCGTCTCTGTTCTAGGCGCGCTACGTGGCTAGAGGCTTCAGTTAGCGCGAGGGGTTGGACTCCTTTCAGACCTTAAGGGAGAGGTACAAGAATCAAGAGAGTTTCAGTCAGAAACGTGCATCAAGGAAACATCTATCAAAGAAAAAGTGCTCCTGGACAGCTCACATGACTCATTTGTAGGCTCTTCTTTGTCTTGTGAAGTCTGGGTATGTCTAGATACATGCACAAGAAAGATGGATCTGCTTTACTGGCTTAGCAAGTTAGCAGCATTCAAGCTCAAACAAATTTATGATATTTTTATTCTGAAAATGATGTTCTGCACTTTCAGGTCACAATATTGTTTATTTAACAACATTTAGTTGCATGGCTTCATGTAGTGTGTTTAAATCCCGTGTCTATAATAGCAATCAAGAGGGTTGTTTAATTTCCTCTTAAACTTGGCACATGGCTTGATCTTTAGAGTAAACGAAACCGAAAAAAAACATTCGTTTTGCAAAGCGGGATCTGACCGTGGCGGTTTGGCGACAGTTTTGCACGAAACTATTCGGTAAACAGTGCAATACGCATCGTGCGACCGAATTCGTGGTTCCGTGAACAGTGCGAATACGAGAAGAACGGTGTTTTTTTTTCGAATAGTAGATGATTCCAGAATTGTTGACTTGGAAATCACTTGAATTCCCCAGTCATAAAGCGCATGTATTTCCTCATCGCAAGCTTCTCGCCCAAATCCGTCGTAGAAACTCCAGGCGATGCACACATTGTTTTTGCGCAAATCGCATTCAAATGATCCTGTCCCAACAAACAGCAAAACGAGTTCTTTCACCATTCCTCCAATCAGCAAGCACGACTAGAATTCGTTTCGACACACTTTTCTTGTTCAGGCTTGAACTCAAAGCTACCTTCCATTCTATACTTTTGACGGATTTCAAAGCACCAAATTCAAGTGGTTTCTAGGTCTGCTATTTTAGCTGCGGGCTTTAACGGTGGTACATGTAGTGGAAGCTTGGAGAAAATGTTGTTTCATTTTTTGTTCGTAGATTTCCTTCCATCTGTTCATCAGTGTAGAGATCCCTGAGTGCTACCTTCTGGTGGTAAGCCACGCCGTGGTTTGGTGCCAGGCAAGTTACCACAGTGGGGGTTTATTTTCGCCCATCGCTCAGCAGTTTTCGCTCCTCCCTCCAAGTCATCACACCACCATCTACCCTCTTCCCGCGCGTATGTTTCACAAAATCCGCTGATAGTACTCGCTTCCCCCCCACCACCCCACTTCCTCCCATTCCCGCAGATCCCCCTCCCGCGTACCACCCCTCCGTCCCCTCCCGTCTCCTCCGCCCCCCCCATCTTCCTCCCTAGCCCAAGGTTCATCCTTCCCCCCTTGCTCCATGCCCTAGGCCCACTCACCTCGTGACCTTGCTGCTGCATAAACGCCTCTCCGCCTTATTCCTTTTTCCTTTCCCAGCAAACCCTTCTCCCCCCCTCTCCGTTCGCCCTCCCTGGTGCGTTTCCAGCCCTGCCCTATCTAGACTCTGGTTCTTAGGTCTAGTATGCGTATCGCGATGAGGCTGTGATCTAGTGGATAATTCGTGATGCTTTTTGGGGGGCATTTTTGGTTAATTAAGGGCGTTGGTATCTACGAAGGTGCTTCTTTGAGATGTCGAGGCTGTAGGGTTGGGTCAGAAGGGTTTCCAGGGTAGCATCAAGTACTAGGCGGCTAGGAACAAGATCGTCATAACGCGGCGTAGAGTCGGGCTCTAATTGTCTTGAACAATCTTCTTAATTTCATCGCCACTTCTCTAGCATCGTCATAATTTCATCCACGTCCATGGTGTATCTCGCGTCAGGCTGATTTCCTCAACTGAGATGGCTGCGGTTCCGCGTCGTCGCATCGTTTTCGTCGTTTCGTCCCTCCTTATCCCGTCTCCCGCTTTCTTTCCCATGAAACCACCTCCCCCCGCTCCCTCGCACTCCTCCCTCCCTTGCGCTCGTTTTTTTCACCCGTGCTTGAACCCGCAGGGGAGGAAGTTTTTTCTTCTGAAGCCGCGAGCAGCAAGTCTAGTAGGAGCGGCAGATAGCGTGACGCAGCCATGGTGCGACACAACAACCAGGTGCCGAATGCGCACTTCCACAAGGATTGGCAGTCGTACGTGAAGACATGGTTCAACCAACCCGCCCGCAAAAAGCGCAGACGGATCGGTGCGTGCGCTTTTCGAGTCCATCGCATTCTTGTTTGGGTTGCGTGGTCGACTGTACATTCTTTTGTTCTCCCGCGATTGGGTGATTGCAGGATCGGCTTGGTTTTACTTCGTTTGAGAATCTGATGCCGATTGGCTTCCTAGTCACCGTGTCCAGCCTATGCTTATTTCACTCGCCTTCTTCCCTTCCCCTCCCATTCCTTCCGCCTCTCCGCCCCTCCCTGACTCCCTCCTTGGCCCCTTCTCCTTGTGCTCCTGTTGAATCCTCCCTAACAAGTCTTCCGTTTCCGTTTCCTCTCCCGCATGCGCCGATAATGAGGCAGAAGAAGGCCGTGAGCATCTTTCCGCGGCCCTCAGCGGGTCTGCGAGTCCCCTTCTCCCTTCACTGTAACAACTCCCCTTTCTCCGTCTCCCCCCTCCCCCCCCCTCCCCCCCCTTTCCGCGAGCAGCGAGGCAGAAGAAGGCCGTGAGCATCTTCCCGCGCCCGACAGCCGGACCGCTGCGGCCGGAGGTGCACGCGCCCACCATCCGCTACAACTCCAAGATCCGCGAGGGCCGCGGCTTCACCCCCGCCGAGCTCAGGGTGCGTACCTTCGCACTGGTTCCCTCCCCGCTGACAGGCTCGGGGTCCGTACCTTCCTTCGGGTTTTCCTCCCCGGGGAGTAGGCTCGGGGTGCTACCGGCGAGATTTCTTTGTTTCTTTTTTTCCCTCCCAACCGGTATGATCAGGGCGCGTGTCTCCCCTCCTTCGCCCCCGGGGATTGGATTTATATATTGTTCGTGTATCGAGGTTTCTTCTCGACCAGAGTTAAGGGCTCGGTAGCTCGCTCGGCCGCGTAGCTTTCCTGGCTATGTCATCTACCCTTTCCCTCTCCCGCTGGTACCCGGCACTGTTCGCAAAATCCCGCGCATCAGCCTGTAGCGCAGCCGGACGGGCCGGGCCGTGGTACGCTCAGGGCCGTGGTACGCTCAGGGCCGTGGTACGCTCAGGGCCGTGGTACGCTCAGGGCCGTGGTACGCTCAGGGCCGTGGTACGCTCAGGGCCGAGCCGTTAAATTTTCTTGGAGCCCAGCCGGACGGGCCGGGCCACTGCTACGCGAAGGGTTTTGCTTTCGCTGCCTTAGTCGGACTGCCATCGTCGCCTGCAGGAGTTGTAAGTAGCTTAGCGTTGAGACGTCCTATAACCTAGCCTCAGTCATGCCGTCGTCACATGTGGGAGGGATCGCAGTGCAGCGTTTGCAGCAACCGTCGCTCCAGTTGTTTGCGTGTCCAGGCTCTAGAGATTCTTTTCTGGACTCCTGATGTAAATTACGTCAGTCTGTCAGCTAGGAAGTCTAGCGTGTATACGCGCACGCGTTTGTACTGGCTTCAGGGCTATCGATTACCGAGTTACGAAGAACCAGAGGTGAAACCCGATGGTAACGTTTCGACTGAGGAGTCTATTTTCGAGGCGCCTCAAAAATTGAACCCGATGGTAACGTTTCGCTTGGAGCGCTGGCGTAGCGCGGTGAAGCAAGCTCTGCAGAGTGCTGACTCGAGCCGCTTGCGAGGAAAATGCCGAAGCGACTCCTCATTCTGTGCTACCTGCCATACCCGAACTTTCTCCCTCCTGTCTGTCATGCTTCCTCTTTTCCTTCATGTGTCGTTCTCTTCTCTGTTCTCCTTTCCCCCTTAACTGTCCTCCCTTCGCGTTTTTAAATCGGTTTCCTCCGGCTTCCCCCCGCCCCCCCTTGTGCGCGCGCGCAGGAGGCGGGCATCCCCATTAGGGTGGCACGCACGATCGGCATCTCCGTGGACTCGCGCCGCCGCAACCGCAGCCTGGAGAGCCTGCAGGCCAACGTGGCCCGCCTCAAGGCGTACAAGGCTAAGCTCGTCGTCTTCCCGCGCCGCACCAAGAAGCCCAAGGTGAGACACGGGGGGGGGAGTGGCGAGGAAACTTGGAGTGTAAGGAGTAGGGGTGGGGCAGGGAGTAGCGAGACTGGTATGGCTTGGGAGTAGACCGGGAAGTGCGGAGTGCGGAGGCGGGGGTTCAGGGGACCTGTGGGTTTTTTTGGAATGAGTGGCTGGTGACAGTTTCGCCGCACATACCTTTTTGTCTACTCTGACACCTCACCCCCCCCCCCCCGCCCGAACCCCCCCCTCTCTTTCTCTCCGTCTGCCTGGTTTCTGGTTCTTCCCTCATCCGTCACCTACCCGACTTGACTCACTCCTTTCCCTCAACCCCTCGCGTCCCCATCCCTGGCATCCGTGTTTCCCAACCACTCCACTCTGACCTCCGTTATCCCCTCAATACTTCCTCTTCAGGGTGAGCACCACTCCCGCCTCTCCCGCCCCCTCAAAAGAGCTTGCAGTGTCGTGCCGCACGTTAGCGCGGTGCCTCCCGTTGCCACGCCCGCCTATTCGTCACCCCTTCGTTACTTAATTATACCCCATTTCCCCCCCCCCCTCCTCTCCTCCTCACCTCTCTCCCCCCGGACCGGCGACGCCTCCCCCGAGGAGTTGGCGGCTGCCGTGCAGCACACCGGAGCTGTGATCCCCATCGTGAACCCCGCCAAGAACGTGCCCCTGGCGGCGGTCACAGAGGAGCTGCATGTGGGCACGCTCGGTGCTCCCCATTGTCACGCCCCACCTGCCTGACTCTCCTAAACTCCATGCCCTCCTGCCCTCCTCTTCTTTCCCGCCCCTCCCTCTCCCTCCCCCCTTATAACCTCCCTCCCTTCCCAGGCCGGCGACGCTTCTCCCGAGGAGTTGGCGGCTGCCGTGCAGCACACCGGGGCTGTGATCCCTATCGTGAGGCCCGCCAAGGACGTGCCCCTGGCGGCCGTCACAGAGGAGCTGCGCGCGGGCAAGGTGTACGAGACCCTGCGCCAGGAGCGCACCACGGCCCGGCTCGCAGGCATCCGCAAGAAGCGCGCCCTGGAGAAGGAGAAGGAGGAGAAGAAGTAAGGGGCGAGGGAGATATCGCGAAGAGAGCGCTGGTTGTGGTTCGGCTGGTGGTGGCTGTGGGCAGCTGTAGCAATGGCGGGTGTTGGGTGACTGCTGCTGCAGTTGCTTGGGCATCAGCTGCTTTCAGCAGCAGCAGCAAGGGCAGATGGGCATCAGGAGGATGAAGAGGACGAGAGCGTGCATGGTAGAGGAATCAGCAGCAAGAGCAGCAGCTGGCCTTGTTAATGTTAGTGGAGTCACCTCTTTTGGCTCATGGGTGGTTGCTGTGATGCTTGCTGTTTTCAACTGTGATGCCTGAAGTTTGAGATTTGCATTCACTCGTTCGTCGTGAAGTGCACCGTGAATGTAGAAATTTGTAGTGGCCTCACTAGTCTTTCTATGGTTGCATTGAAATATTGATTGCGGGAGATAGGCTAATCGTCCCTACCTACCGCAGTTTAAGGGAAATCTTACTGAAATCCTTAACTACATACATGTGCAATCCATAACCCTCTGGCTCAACAGCGAGACAACTGTGTCATTCATGCATGAGCAACCGACATTGCACACCTGGCATGTCGACAGTTGCTGCCCTAGACCCCTCTCCCACCCGCGTGGCTGAAATTTCAGCTGGGGAAGGATGGATGACGGCTGCACTTTACCGTTCCGTCTCCATTCATTGCCGTTCCGTTATGTTCTGCTATGCTTCTGACAGTGTTTCACGCACTGACGCTGACGTCAGACCTCAGGCTGTACAGCAGGGCGTTTACATTCTCCCGCCACGCGCTATCTCGTTATTGTTTACAATTGTAACTTCGCGTTACATCACGTGACCCTCCCCCCACCCCTTCCCTGATTCTGTCAATCTACGGTCATTTCGGTCAGTCAGCGTTGCTCGACACTCCCGCCCGAGGCTGCTACGGTATTGCATCGAGCAACTCTGACTAGAGCGCGACGCGCAAGAAAGGCTGTGGTGCATGTTGCTCCGTCCTGCTGTCGAAATGGCTGTGACGACGACGAGGTGTCAAGTCGAGCTGACGTGCTCTTGCCGACCTTGCCGCCGCGCCCCTCGAATTCTCGTAGCTGAGTGCGAGAATGACGCGCACAAACGGAGAGAGCACCAACAAACCGAAACCAGGAGTCCCCATAAAGAGGTTCTTGCAGCCCAGGCGGAATTCTCGGGCAAACGCTTATCAATCGACGAGCCCCGTACCTATAAAAGGCTGAATCGCCGATATAATTATTTCCGTCGCATAATGCTACTCAGCTTGCACTGGGACAACAAGCTTCCAGCTCTCGTGAAGGCACGAGCAAAGCGCTCTCCCTCTGCTGCTGATAACCTGGACAACGATTCCGAAGGACCTGCGACCGCCCGTCGCGACTGTGTCCACCCTTCCGACGCGATCTGGAGCCGTTACTGTAGCAGAACGGCGGCGTCGCCATGGCGGCGGTGTCGTACAGATTCCCTGCGAAATAATGACGCAGTGAATCCTCCAGTGTGGAGCCTCTAAAGACGCAGAGCATCTCCCTGTGAGGCTGGCTCGGCCGCCGCAGCAAGCGTTAACATGCCAGGCGCCCCGAAACAGACTTCTGCCGTGGAGACCTCAAGAGGAGGGAGGACAGGAAACCTGAGAGACACCGCGATGAGCATTAATAGTACTAATAGCATTAATAGTCTTAGTAGTAGCAGTGGCAGTAGCAGTAGTGCTAGCAGTACCTGCGGAGGAAAGAAAGCTCGCTCGGAGATTCGGCTGACGGCGCGGCTGCTCGTGGTTGTCGCCTTAACGACGCTCTTAACAGTCGCGGGAGACGGCAAGAGCGCTTTCGTCTCGTGGATCGTACGAGCTCGCTCGCTTCTAGATAACGCCGGAGCCGAGCAACCTGAAGTTGTAACGCCGCTAAGCCTGGATGAGTCGGCCAACGCTGAAGCTCTACAGTTGACTACCAGTAGTAGTAACCCAAGCATTCCTTTAAAAGAGTTTTCAAGCCCCAAGAAAGGTGACGGAAGCGCATACTCCTCTAAAAGCTTATTCTCAACGAAGATACCACCACGCGATGCGGGTGCCCGTGTATCACGGCCAGCGGGAAGAGCGTATCGTGCTTCGGGCAGCTCCCGTGGACGCGTCGCTGGGCAGCGCGTGCACCCCCTGCCTCTTCCCGACGTTGTTATCTGGGTTCAGGTGCGCACGACTCACGTCCCGACGCACGACGCACGACGCACGATGCACGATGCACGATGCACGATGCACGATGCACGATACCTGATGGAGATTCCGCCGCACATGCTGTGTGAGAAGGACGAGCGAAATGGCGAGTGCATGTGAGGAGAAGTCCAAGAAACCCAAGAACCTCAAGAACAGCACTGCTAGCTTTGGTGGCCGAACGAGTGTTCTTTGGTGTGGCTCGTTTAGGCACTTTAACTCTGCAAATACACCGCACATATTTTACCTTCTATAAACATCGAGTGAACTTGGCAACAATTTGTCTTTTACTTCGTTTCTACCCCACTTCATACTACTTGTACGCAGGGGCTGCTTCATGAACGTCTACATTCCATGTGTGCAGGATATGCATTACATGACATGCTTGCCATCAAGCTGCAGTCTTTAAAAAACAGTAGTAGTATAGAGGTTCAAAATAACAATAATACTTCTCCATCAAAAGTACACCGTATGCGGCTTGCATTCCTATGGCTCACTGAAGACGAAATGCGTCACACTCGTCTCCACGACATCCTTGGGCCCTTGCCCTCTCTCGGTGCCTCATCTGGCGCTCAAAGCCATGCCAGCAACAGCGATATGGGCTCCCTTCAAGGAAGGAGGAATACATTACAAGGCAAGCGTGATACATGGAAATCTGGTTGGTCGGCAGCACGGGCAAGAGGAGGTGGAGAAGGGAGGCTTGGGGGAGTGGGCGGAAAGGCAGGAAGGAGGAGGGAGGAAGGGTGCAAGGACGATGTGCGAGAAGGGATGGTGTCACCATCTGTGCTGGACCACTGGCCTCGCTGGCTCGACTCGGCACTTTTCCTTCCTATGGTGCGTCTCCATTGTTCCCTTGCTTTTCATGTGCAATGATCGTGCCCTTTGCGTTGTGCCTCTCAGACGCCATGGCTTTATTTCAAACCCCCTACCTCTTAGCCACTGCTGTTTTCCCCCCTGTTTGCGTGCTTGGCTTAGATGTCTGCATGCCTGCATGCGTTTCTGTGTGCAGAGCCTCTCCTGGCAAGTTCACCAACCGCCGTCAACTAGCAAACATCAGCCATCCTCTGCATCTTTCCCCCCTCCTCCCTTCCATCATGCTCACTCCTCCTCCTCCTCCTCCTCCTCCTCCTCCTCCTCCTCCTCCTCCTCCTCCTCCTCCTCCTCCTCCTCCTCCTTCTCCCCCCTCACTTCGCGCCCAATCCACCTGAGCGTGTTCCTCTCCTCCTCCCTCACTCCCCTCACCCCTCTCCTCCATCCCCTTCTCTCCACATCCAATCAGTCCCTCTCTCTCACCGACCAATCCCAACTGCACACGTCACAGCAGCGCTGCTACAGCCTGCTACAGCCGTCCCTCGCAGTGAAGAAACTCATGGCCAAAGAGAACATGACACGTGTCAGGCAAAGTTTGGCTGTGTATATGGAGCATGTTTCCTCTCCCTCCTCCTCCTCCTCCTCCTCCTCCTCCTCCTCCTCCTCCTCCTCCTCCTCCTCCTCCTCTTCTACCTCCTCCTCCTCTTCCTCCTCCTCCTCCTCTTCCTCCTCCTCCTCCTCCTCCTCCTCCTCCTCCTCCTCCTCCTCCTCCTCCTCTCCCCCCTCGTCCTGCCCCTCTTGCCCCCCCTCTCTCATTGTCAACTGCACTGCCCGGCGCCTCATGTGGCTCTTTCTCGGGCAGCCCGAAAAAGAAGCCACAGTTGCAGGTTACTGGCCGTCCCAAGCCATAGCCGTCGCCCGATCCTTCCACCCGAACCGCCAGCCGAACCTACTAATCTCCACTTTAGGACGGTCCTTATTATGTAGGCCCAACCCTGTGTGGGGAGAGGTCCTTGCTCCTCCCCTTGTTCCTGCTGCCCTGAGTGTGAAAGAGAGGGGGGAGAGGGGGTGGTGGGGCAGAGTGTCTGGGAGGAAGTTAGAGAAAGGGCGGAAGGTGGAAGGGCGAGGAGGGAGGGGAGCGAAGGGGAGCGGGGGGGATGGGAGAGGTGGTGAGAGTGGGAGGGTGAGGCACACAGTCTCGAAATATGTACGTGTAGCAACACATGCATCCAAGCCACGACTACCAAGGGCAGCAGCACCAAGGGCAGCAGCACCAAGGGCAGCGGTACCAACAAGAGCACCACTATCAACGCCAAAGCGGCCAAGAAAGCAGTCGATCCTGTGCTCCCAGCTGCAAGCCGCAGAGCTCTTCGCTCTCTCCGCAGCCCAGGGGCTCATCCACCTGGTATCCTCGCCGCAAGCTGACCTGATAAGAGCACAAGCTGCGTCTAGAGGGGCGGTTGTTGTGGTGAAAGAGAGTGCTGTGCCAGCTGAAAGTGTGCCGATGAGTGAAGGTGGGAGTGAGGGTGGGAGAGGGCGAGTGAGAGGTAATGTGGGAGAGGGTGAGAGAGAGAGTGAGGGAGTGGGAGTGAGTGAGTGTGTGGGAGGGGGGAGGGTGGTGTTTGAGGAGGAGAGGCCGGTGTGTGAGTCGCCTGCAATGAAGCCCATATCCGAACACCGGATTGGCAAACAGCTTATAGTGGATGGTGAGTGGTGCCAGACAAGGCACCTTCCTCCTCCCTCTGCCTCTCCCTTTTCCTCTCATGCTCATTCCTCTGCCTCTCCCCTTTCCTCTCATGCTCATTCCTCTGCCTCTCCCTTTTCCTCTCTCTCCACCACATTCCTCCTTGCCCCAGAACTCTCTCCCTCCTCACTCTCCTCTGTCTATTCCTCTCTCCATCTGTCCTAGGAATCACCATCCCCTCTCTCGTTTTCCATTCTTCCACTCCCTTCCTCACCCCTCCCTCCCCTTCCTCACCCCTCACCCCTCCAGAGACGCTTTGGCTCTCTACTGCGCTCTCCCCAAAGCAGCTTGCATCAGTTGAATTGCCAGGTCGAGGCAGAACCACAATGACTCTGACGCACACTATATTGTCTCTCCTCTCCCCCTCCCCACTCCCCCTCCCCCCTCCCCCCTCCCCCCTGCCCCCTCCCCCCCTCCCCCTCCCCCCTCTCCCCTCCCCCCTCCCCCTCCCCCCTCCCCCTCCCCCCTCCCCCCGTCCCCCTCCCTTTTCTCAGATGCACACAGATCTCTCTTCCCTTGCCCCACTCCACTAACCCCCTCTTCCCCCTCCCTCCCCCTCCAGAGTCCCTCGCTCTGCTCTACTGCGCTGTCCCCAAAGCCGTGTGCACCAGCTGGAAGATCTGGCTCAGGCAGCAGCGCAACACCTGCAGCGCACAAATTATTGCCTCTCCTCTCCCCCCTTTCCCCCCCCCCCCCGCGCCCCCCTCCCTCCCCCTTCAGAGTCCCTGGGTCTGCTCTATTGCGCCATCCCCAAAGCCGCGTGCACGAGCTGGAAGATGTGGCTGCGGCAGCAGCGCAACGACTCCGACGCCCACAACCCGCGCTCCACGCACCTCCCAGCACGCTCCCACCTCCCGGTGCTGTGGTTCGGCATGGCCGAGCCTGAGGCCATACGTGCGGTGACGCGGCGGGACCTGGTGCGGTTTGTGTTTGTGCGGCAGCCGTTCTCGCGAGCGGTGTCCGCGTTTGAGAACAAGCACGTGCAGGCGGAGGGAGGGGGGCGGGGCAAGAGACGGTTCTGGTCGCTGGTGAGTGAGTGCGTGAATATATACACACGAGTGCAGCATGTGTATTTTGAGTCGACTCAAAATACGCTGGTGAGTGAGTGCGTGAATATACACACACGAGTGCAGCAATGCACTGCAGTGCAGCCCACTACCCTTCTCGTGTCGACAGAGTCTGCGATTGTGAACACGCCCGTGCAAGTGGAGGCGGGAGTTTGCGGCAAGAGGAAATTCTGGTCGCTGGTGCGTGAGTGAGTGTGAGAAAGAGAGTGAGTGAGTGAGTGAGGGAGTGTGTGTTCTTGTTGATTGGAACAATGCAGACCTAAAATCCTTCCATCCCGGGGAGGCCAGTCCTTCCCCACCCTTCCCCCAGCCTCCCTCTCTTCCTCTCATCTTCCTTCCACTCCACTCCGGCTTTCCCTCTCCTCTGCTCCCCTTCTGTTCTCACTTCCGTTCGCCCCCAATTCTGTACTCCCCCAGTTCACTTCTCCTCCGATTCAGTTCTCCCCCAATCCCGCCCCCCACCCTCAGGCCTTTTTCCAGCATCTATTCTGGACCAGCGGCTCCACCCACCGCCCCTTGCCCTGGAGGGATCTCCTCTCCGCACACCTCTCGTCTCTCTCTTCTTCCACTTCCCCCTCCTCTCCCTCCCCCCTGTCGTTCTCCTCCTCCACCCCTCACAACTCCTCCTCCTCCCACCCCTCCTCCACCCCTGCACTCTCTCTCACTGACCTGCTGCGTCTGCAAGTGGGTGGCAAGCTGTCGTTTGATGAGTTTGTCTCTTTGCTCGAGGCGGCAAGAGCAGCGGATGGCGAACACCTGATGGACAACCACATAGCGCCCCAGGTGTGTTCACAGGTGCTTCCTCAGGTGCTTCCTCAGGTGCTTCCGCAACTGTATGGTCCAATGTGTGCACGTGGAGCGCATTCAAGCAAGCTTTCCCTTCCCCTCCTTCTGGTATCTCCTCTCTCCTCAAACCCCTGCTTCCCCACCCCCCCTCTCCTCCCCCCCCTCTCCTCCCCGCCCCTCTCCTCCCCGCCCCTCTCCTTCCCTCCTTACATTCTCAGTCTCTCCTTTGCGGCCTCCATCACAGAAAGTACGACTTTGTGGGGTGCGCTGAGCTGAGCGCATGGAGTGGGACGTGACCGTGTGGATGCGCTGATGCGCTGATGCGCCCTTTCCCTTCCCACTCCACCCACTCACCGCCCAACCAACCCCGTCCCTGCTCCCCCATTCCCCCACCCTCCCCATCACCTCCTTCTCCCAGTCTCTCCTGTGCGGCCTGGATCACATAAAGTACGACTTTGTGGGGCGCTTTGAGCGCATGGAACGGGACGTGGCAGCGCTGTTGGCTCTGCTGGGGAGGGATGCCGGGGATGCATTTGCCTTCGGGAAGAGCGTGCACCCCACCAACTCCTCCAGCCGCTTGCTCGAGATGTTCAAAGACAAGGTGTGTTTGTGCGCGGCAGTTGTGGGAGGAAGGGGGGGGGGACAGGCTTCTTGTACGAGGAGCCTGCGCTTGAATCGACTCAAAAGCGGGCTTGTAGGAGGAGAAACAGGGCTCTTGTACCGAGGCAGCAACACTTCGGGAGGAGCGTGCACCCCACCAACTCCTCCAAGCGGCTGCTCGAAACGTTTTGAGACAAGGTGCGTGAGTGTGAGGCTCTAGGGGGGAGGGAGAGAAGTCTCTAACTGACCAAGCAGGGTTCTTGCACCTGGGTTGGTGCAGCTTGCCTTGGGCAGGGCCAAACTAGGTTCTTTCTTGCACCCCACTGCCTCCTCTCACCGCCTCTTGGAGATGTTTCGAAACAAGATGTGTGCAGCAGTTCTGGTAGCAGTGCGGGTAGCAGTGCGGGTAGCAGTGCGGGTAGGAGGTCATGGAGGGGGCTGGGGTTCTGGTGTGTGGGCAATGGAGTGAGTCACTGGAGTGGTGTGGGAAGTTGGGAGGGGAAGTGTGGGGTGTGGGGGTTTGGTAGGGAGGTGGTATGGGAAAGGAGAGAGGCAGGGAGACTGAGGTGGGGTGAAAATGTTTTACAACTACACACACATGCAACGAGTCACAACACCAAAATCCTTCCCCTCTGTGTGTTGTGTGACTTCCCATCCCACCAACTCAACCTCTGCAGGAGACGTACATGAGAGTGAAACGGGTTTACTCCATTGATATGCACTCCTCTCTTAACAATATTCACTATAAGCCCCCAGCTGAACTGGCTACTAGGTTTGAAAGCACTTAGCGGCAACTACCGGCACGGGGTTAGGGACAAAATAATAGAGTACGTATGAGAACAGATTGATTAGGAGCTCAGTAACTAACAGGCACAGGGATTCCGCTGTGTTGTGTATAGATTTCACCTCATTGCACATAAAAAAAGTGTACAGCTCTATATAAAGTTTCATTTGATTCACCACCGGAGCTCTCCCATCATGCCCCCCCAACACATGCCCCTCGTCTCACGCCCAACCATCACGTGAACCATATGGAAGCCATATGCCCCACATCCATCGGCTTATCGCTCCCATACAGTTCACGTGATGCTCCGGCATCTCCCGGTGTATTTTGAGTCGACTCAAAAGCAGTGCCCTCAAACACCACGCGTGCTGATATGGACCCACTTTTGAGTCGACTTAAAATACATCTCCCCGGCCGACTTTTGAGTCGACTCAAAAGTCAGCTTATCGCTTCCATACAGTTCACGTGATGCTCGGGCATCTCCTGGGCCGCACCGCCTTTGAACCCTTCTCATCTCACCACCACGAGCACAATCACCATCACATCTTGCTCACCCCCCCCGTCACGTGAACCGTATGGCAGCCATGTGCCCCACATTTAAGGGCTGCTCCACCAGCAGCATCTCTCTGGCGCTCCTGGCGAGCTCCTCGCTCTCCTCCATGAGCGACTGCATGCTGAACACGAGCGAGTTGAACGACAGCATCGCCGAGTTGCGCACTATGCTCTCCCACGGGTGCTGCCGCTTGCTCGCTATCAGCACATCCAGCACCCGGTTGTACTCCCGCACAAACGCCTCCATTGCTCGCTTCCTCCCCGCTCTCCCCACCCGCACCGCTCGCCCCGCTCGCCCCGCCCCCCCCGCCTGCCCTGCTTGCCTGCCTCTGCTGTGCACGTTGTACATGCCTTCATTGGGATTACTTCGTCTGTTGCTGCGGTCTTCCCCGCCTGGCCTTTCTTCGTCCAAGCCAATACCATGCAGACCGTCCCTGTGTCCCTGTGCTCCTTTCCTGGTGCTCAAATTCCCACACAACACCTGAGGCACCTGGGGCACCTGAGGCACCTGGGGCACCTGAGACACCTGAGGCACCTGGGGCACCTGAAGTACCCGGGGCGCCTCTTGAGGCTCCTCAAGTTCCAAACCTCTGCCCTCCAATGCTGGCACTTCCGCCCCTCTCGTCTCTCCCCCTATCATTTCACCCCCCTCGAGCCTCCTTCCCTCCTCCTCGCCCCTCTCTCCTTCCCCCCCCTCTAGCAGCGGTCGAACGCTCCCCCCCGACTCATCCCCCGTGCCCCCTTGAAAGGGACCCACCCGCCAGCGCCAGCTAGGAAAAGAAAGGAAGCTGTGATGCTGGTGGTGGTGCGGGGAGGCGAAGGAGCGGCGGTGGGGGGAGGGGAGTGGGGGGAGGGCTGGGAGGGAGGCGGCGAGAGAGGGGAGCAGCCATTGTAGCGTGCGGTCTTGGGTGGGGTGGTGGCGATGGGGATGGTTGTGGTGGTGGCTGCGGGAGGTGGGAGAGTGAGGAGGGCGAGAGCGGGAGAGAGGGGAGCGATGGTCGCTCACCCGTGCCCCATCGCTCACACCAGCAGGCTCACTCCATCTCCTCACTCTTGTCCTGTCAGCCGTGCTCGCACCAAAGCTCACTCTCTTGCTATCGCTCCCCCTCCTACCCCACCCTCCGCAGCCGCCCTCCCGCCCTCCCTGCTGCTGCCATCTCTCCTCCTCCCCCTCTTTCCGCTCCTTCCCCTCCTTCCCCTCCTTCGCCTCCTTCCTGTCGTCGCCTCCCTCGTCTTCCTCGTCCGAATCCCCATCCCCAACCCTCCACACGACTCTCTTATCACCCACCATCCCACTCACCATCCCCTCTCCGCTGCTCCCCTCTCCGTGGGCCCCCCCCACCCCCAATTCCCCCTCACCCTTGCTCAACCCTTCCCTTTCCTCCCCTTCCTCCACCTCCCCGCCCCCCCACAACCGCCCTCTCTCCCAACTCCCCTCCCCTTCCTCCCCGCTCTCATCTCCCTCCTCCCACTCCCCCTCCTCCCACTCCTCATCCCACGTCTCTCCCCCCTCGCCCTCCCCCCCCACCACGCCCGCCCAGCTCCCGTGTTCCCACATGAGGGCCCTCTCCACGCACCACAGCGCCACCACCATCTCACTCTCAAGCTCCCTCAACGCCCCCCTCAGCGGCCGTACCAGCCGCTCTACCTCCCTGCCCGTCTCACTGGGCCTCCCGTGCAGCAGCTTCACCCCCAATCCTGCTGCTAGTGGGCCGCTGCTGGGTGGTGGTGGTGGTGGTGTGGTTACCACTGCTGCCAGTAAAGGAGCGCTGGCTGCTGCCTCTCTAGGTTTCCCATGGAGTAACTTCCCTCCCACTCCTGCTGCTAAGGGGCCGCTGGATGTTGTTGCTGCTCCTGCACCCGCACCCGCGCCTGCGCCTGCGGCTGCCCCTGCGGCTGCGGCTGCGGCTGCGGCTGCAGTTGGTTTGTTCCGGCCTGTGCTGTAATCCACTCTGTGATCTACTCTGGCTGCATCTTTCCTTCCTATTCTCGTCATCGTATCCTCCGTTCCGGCGGGCATAACGTCGCTTGTAACCCCCGCCTGCTCTGTCACTGCTCCACTGCTTATCTCCTCAATCTCCCCCACTGCACTCTTCACCCCACTTCCTCCCTCCTCCCGTCCCTCTGCTTCCACTTCCTTCTCCCCCTCTCCCCTCTCCCCCACCCCCAACCCCTCCCTCACTCGCTCCTTCTCCTCCTCCAGAACCCTCCACCCCTCTCGCGCAATCTCCATCTCCCTCTCTCTCCGCTCCTCCCGCTCCCTCCCCTCCACAGAAGCGACAGCTCTTAAGCTGCAGTCCATAAAGTAAAGCAGCTGGTGCATCCGCTGCTGGCTAGCCAGCAGCCTCTTATACGCAGGCTCGGGGAAGGGAGCGTGCCAGAGCTCAGGTTCGGCCATAGCCTCGTCGAGGAACACCTGCTGCCGAGCCACGCTTGCAGCCACGGCGGCTTGCAGCTCTGCCACTCGCTTGACTGCTTGGGCTTTCTCCTTGCGCCACCGCTCCTCTCGCTCCTGCTCTGTCTCCCTCTCTCTTCTCCACGCCCCTTCCCCCTCGATTCCCGCCTCTCCCTCCCCCGCTCTTGCTCTTGCTGCTGCTGCTCCTGCCTCTGCTGGTTTGATCCCTGCTTTCCCCACAGCCAAAACCACTGCCATTGCCCCTGCCCGGTACCGCCCCCCCCTGCTGGCCGCTTCCTCCTACCCGCAAGCATTCCTCCGTGCTTTCCCCCTTCCCTCCTATGCCTTCTCCTCGCCCCCTCTCCGTCCTTCCCTCCCCCACGCCCTAGCAGGTCCGCAGCAGAGTCGATCCGTTCCACATCTCCTGGTTCCCTCTCCGCCTCCCCATTGTCACTCCCCACGCCCTCCTCCCCATCCCACCCATCCCCATGCGCCCCTGGGATACACACAGCCACAGACACAGGCACAGAGCCGAGCTCGTTCCGCTCTTCAACCCCCCCCCCACCCCGTTCAACTGCACCACACCACTCTCCATCCCTCCATTCGCCTTCCTTTCTGTTCCCACAGCACCGTGCAGTTCATGTCCCAAGGATGCAGGTACCTGCTGACTCATCTCAACAGAGAAATCCTCTCTTACAGTATGCTCTACGTTCCCAATCTCCCCCTTCCTCCCTACTTTCCTCTGCCCCCCTCACTCCCCCTCCTCTCGTTCCCCCTCCTCTCGTTCCCCCTCCTCTCACTATCCCCTCCACTCCCTTGCTCTCCCTCCTCGCCACCCTTCCCTCCTCCTCCCCTTATCCTTTCTCCCCCACCCAAACCACCCCTCCATCCCCCGAACCAACGACGGAACCACCCTGCCCAGCCCAACCTGCCTGACCTTTTCCCCCCCGAACCATCGGGCCCGTCGCCGAACCTCCCGCCGAACCTCCTCTCGAACGTCCCTCCGAAATACGACCAGGCCACAGTAGCAGCGCAGACACGGCAGCGAGTAATATTCGCTACTAACTCAGCACGGGCTAGAGCGGCAGCGCGGGTGGGGAGGACTAACAGCTCCACTAGAATGACTGATACAAGCCCTATGCATGTCTCTGTGATTCGCAGCAGCGCATAGTGCTCTACTGTCAGGTCGGAAAGAGAGAGAGAGGAGGAGGACGAGGGGGGAGGGGAGGAGGAGGGAGGGGAGGAGGAGGGAGAGGACGGGGAAGGGGAAGGGGATCCGCTAAGAGCAGGGTAGCCTAGCATGATGATAGCAGCAGTGAAGGCAGCCACAACGCCAGCATACCCGTACTCCTTGCTAGTCCGAACAAAGGACGTCAGAAATACCCATACCCCCAGCGCTGCCAGCAGCAACGGCAGACGGGTCGTGGTGAGAGGCACTAGCAGGTACCCAAACACTGCCCCTGCTACCGTCCCCTGCAGCCGCAGCATCGACGCTTTGAACGACCCTCCCTGGTACCCCCCTGAAACGAACGCGACAGTGACTGCCGCCCAGAAGTCGAACGTGGGGGAGACTAGACCGCCTAATAACGCGGATGTGACTATAGCGAGGGTGACTTTGAAGGAGGCAATTGCGCGCTGTGGCGCGTCTTTACCTGTGAAAGAGGCAGAGACGGAAGTGAGGACTGAGACGGCGGTTGCGAGGAGAAAAGAGAGGAGGGAGCGGAGGACGGAGAGAAGGCGAGTGGTTGTAGAGTAGACGTATACACAAGGCAGGCACACAGCGCCGAAACGACCAAAGCAGCGAGCGGCGATTCCTGTCTGTTGGCTCCCCTGGGTCTCCTCCCTCTTCTGCTTCCTTCTCACTCCCCTCGCTCTCCCTCCACCCCCAGCGTGCACGCCTTCCTCTCGTCCTCCTCGGTCCCCTTCCCCACCTCCCACCTCTCTTCCCTCCCTCACACTCCCTACCTCACTCCCCCCGCCCTCCTCGTCAGTTTCCTCCCCATCGTCCTCCTCCTCCTCGTCCTCCCCATCCTCTATACCCACCCCTCCCCGCATGCCCCCTCCAGAAACCGCTATAGTCACGTCGTCTAGAGACAACACCTGGGGCAGGCGCGTGTGGTCGTGAGATAACCGCCTGGAAAAGGAGGAGCCGCTTAAAGCCTGGGGCAGTGCGGCAGAGGACGCAGAGGAGCGCCTACTAGTAGTGCCAGCACCGCTCAAAGCGTGCGGTAGCGCGGTAGAGGAGTGGGAGGAGCGGGTACTAGCAGAGGAGAGCCTGCTAGTCGATGGCAGGTTGCTCGTAGCAGCAGCAGCGGCAGCAGAAGCGGCAGTAGCAGAAGCAGGAGGGGTAGCGGCATCGGGTGGAGGTGTGGAGAGGGTGCTGAAGCGAGAAAGGCTCCTACTTCCGGATGGGGATGGCGTCATTGGCAGTGGCACCATTGACGTCATTGAGGCTGCATCATGTTGCACAGACTTGCTGTTGCTATGGGGGGTTGAATCAGAAGCAACATCAGCAGGAGCGGTAGAAGCAGCAGCAGCAACAGGAGTGGCAGCTGCAGGGTTGGAATTGAAAAGCTCCTCTGGTTCCACATACGACCTCCTGCCCCCTCGCACACTGCCCTCCTGCATGCTGTCTCGCACACTGCCCCGCACACTACTATGCCTGCAGCAGGAGGAGGACCGCGCCCTAGAACCAGAAACAGCGGCACCACCACCACCACCAGCACCAGCACCACCGCCACCAGCAGCACCAGCATCGCTATCACCAGCAGCAGCAGTGGCGCCAGCAGCACCAGGGCAGCCAGCACCAGGACCAGCAGCCGCAGCAGTGGCGTGGGCGGAGCGGCAGTGGCGGCAGCAGCTGTCGGAGGCGACGTGCAGGAGCTCGATGGCCATCTGGCGCGCGTTGAAGAGGAAGAACTGCGACGCTACCAGGCTCGACGCGTGCGTGCTGCTCACAAACGCACGCGGGTCGTGCGGCGGGGATTGTGCGCCGCTGCAGGGTAGTGGCGGGGATGAGTGAGGAGGACTGTGAGGAGGTGGGTGCGGGGGTGTGTGTGGGTTTGCGTGCATGGGTGTGTGTCCCTGTTCCAGAGCCTCAACGCCCCTCTTCTCTATGTGCCCTGACCCCAAAAGGCCCTTCTCAGCCTGAAAAGCACTCTCGCCCTCGCTCTCACCCACGCCCTCTTCCTCCCTCCCTGCTTGCCCATCCGTGAGGCAGTAGTAAGCGAGCTCTCTGCCTCGCAGAAGTGCGGCATCCAGTTGGGTGACTGCCTGCACGCCGTCCCTCAGCAGCTGCTCCACATGCTCGTGCACACACTGCCGCCGCCGCCGCTGCATGTGCCCGCCCCACGGCCACCACCACCACTGCCGCCACCGCTGTTGTGGAACCGGGGTGCTTCTATGAGCACCCACACCCTCGTCAGCAGCAGCAGGATTAGCAGCAGGAGCCGCGTCACCAACAGCCGCATCCCGAGCAGCAGTAGCGTGATTACCACCAGCATCACCGCCAACCCCCCCAGCAGCTGGCTTTGCCGCCTCCTTCATTTTCCATTCCTGCTTCTGCCTCTGCCCCAGAACATCCCTGCCCCTCAGAGCACCACCACAAATCTCCATATCCCCACACGCACCTCCTTCGCTCCCGCGCCTGCCAGCCTCTCTATCCCCTTCCATCCCCCCCTTCTCCCCCCCTTCCTGCTCCGCCTTCCCCCCTCCCTCACCCCCTCCCTTCCCCCCTCGCTCTCCCTCTCCCCCTTCCCCTCCCCCCCCTCCCACTCCCCCCAGCGCCTCCGCAGCATACGTCAGGCACAGCCCCACAGACCGCGCGAGCAGTACAAGGGGCGACCTGAGCTCGTGCAGCAGAGCGGGCGGGGACTCCTTGATCTGCCCCGTGTCGAGCGCCATGCGCATGCCGTGCAGGTGCACGTCCACTGCCTGCAACCCCCGGATCACTCTCCCCCACGCCTCCACTTTGCTTGGGCACGGCACGGCTCTCACACTCACAACTGCACTCGCGACACCCGCCCCTGCTGCTGCTGCTGCTGCTGCTGCTGCTGCTGCCCCCTCTGCTGCTGCTTCTGTCTGGGAAGCCAAAACAGGGGTATGCTGCTGCCTCTGCCTCTGCCTCTGTTGCTCCCTCTCCTTCTGTCTTTGCCTCGCCTGTCTCCCCCTCAGCCATACCCGCCACACCCCCCACTGCACCCAGTACCAGCACCTCCTCAGCGGCTCAACCAACTGCTCCTCCCACCATATATCCGCCTCCAGGGCCTTCAACGCGGATATATTCGGCTGCGCCGCCCGCGCCAAGATGCACACCTGAATCGCCGCAGTGGCCAGCGCCTGGGGATCCACCAGGCAAAACGCCGCCGCCAGAGTGTGGAACTGGGCGGCAGCGCAGCGGGCGGCAAACTGGAGCTTCTGGCGGGCTTGGGAGGAGGCGAGGGCGGGGAGGGGGAGCAGCATCGGGAGGAGGCCGCAGGCTATGCCTATGAGGGCGGTGCAGAGGAAACGGAGCGGATACAGCCAGGGTTCTGTGCCAAAGACGTTGCGGGGAGCAGAGGCCGCGTCAGGGTATATAGAAGAATCACTGGCAGACGCAGCAGCAGCAGCAGCAGCAGCAGCAGCAGCAGCCGCGGCGGAAGAAGCAGTAACAGAGGCGTCACCAGCAGAAAGACCAGCGGTTCGGAACGGTGCAGGGAGGTTGTCAGCAGAGCGAAGGACGGCGGAGAATTGGAGGAGGAGGATGGAGAGCATGGCAAGGCCGACCTTGCGAGTGATTGGCGGGATGACGATGAAGGAGAGAACAGCCGTCGCTAGGGCTAGGGTTACCAGGAGAACAGCCGGGCTCGCCCACACATCAGTGTAGAGCGAGAGGGACGAGTAGACTGAAAGGGTGGATAAGGACTCTGGAGAGGCGAGGTTGAGAGAGGGTGGGGATGGAGGGGGGGGAGCTGAAGGCGGAAACCCGGGGGGCGGGGGAGGATAGAGCGCGGGGGACGGGGACGGTGAGGCGGAAAGGGGGAAGGTGGGCGCAGGCGGCGGCGGCGGAAGCATGAAGAGGCGGAAGAGGATGGCGGAAGAGATGCTGGCGATAACCGAGCCTGAGAGCGTGTATGCGGCATTGCGGAGAGACGCGCCGAGGGTCTGGTCCGCGACGATGATGGCGAGGACGGCGGCGAAGAAGGGCACTGGTAACCACGACGCGAAGGGCTCGTGTAGGATGAGCAGGCCGGCGAGGACCGCGGCGGTGGCAGTGCGGAGGCCGATGAGGCAGCGGCTCCAGAAAGCGCGGAGATGCTCGGGGGCTACCATGCTGGTGGATCGTCGACTCGACGCGACGGAAGGGACGCGATGAAGGACGCGATGAAGGACGCGACGAAGGACGCGATGAAGCGTTATGAAGACCGCTCCGATGAAGACTTGTAAGGAAGGAAGGGATGTGCAGTTCGAAGGCGTCCTGCGAGGGTGTAGTTTTGAGGCGCCTCGACACTGGTGCGCTCGCTGCGATGACTTGGGGTCGGGTCCGTACGGGTCGGGTCGGGTCGGTACGGGTCGGTTCAAGGCCTTGAATTGGAGCCGGAACTACCAGAGTGGATTCAAACACGTCGCTTCAGGAGCCGCTGCGACGTCGAGCTTCATACGCGCCATACGTGCCCTGCGCGTAGTATCCATGGTCGATGGACGGACAACGATGTTGCCATGGAAGTGACTGGAAGGAAACGAACGGAGAGCATGATTGCGATCATAATTGATTTGATCGTAGCGAGGGATATAAACACGTGCAATCTCAGCGGTATGACGTCATTTTATGAATTGTCCAGCGACCGAGTTAGGTTGCGGCCTCTAATGACTGCTCCAGGGGGAAACCATCATCCTAATACCATGGAGCTTAGTCCAAAATTGGCACGGCAGAGTCTACGAGAACCTACGAATCTCTCCACAAACTACCACTCGAGCGGAGTAAGGTGTTCCTGCAAGTGTGCCCACACGCATGGGGAGTGACTCAAGATCCCGAAGGCGAGTGTCTGAATTCCACATCATACATGCTCGTTTCTTCTGTCCACGCAGTAACGGACCGTGTCGTTCGCGAATGGCAAGTGTCAGACGTGAAGAACTGACATGGTGGTGATTTCTGTGCGAACACTGACATTCACACATTTAAATCACTGAACTTTGATCGGCGGTGTACGGAACTTGAATGTCAGTTGTCCCCAATGAATACGCTCCACGAAGTGACCTGCAGCCAATCTCAATGTACACGTGGCTTTATCTCATTGGCGGAAAGACCACCACCACATGAAGCAGCCGGAATTCCAAGATTCAGCCAAAGCAGTGAACTTTCATGGGGACTCTAAAATTCCTCTAAAAGCAATGTTGCCACGTCACTGGAAGACCTGACCACGTCACCTGCTCTCACCACTTGCAAACATCATCCGATGTTGATATGATATTGTTCGCAAACCAAAACTCTACTCTAAAGAAATAAGCATAAACATATCTCCTAGACTTCAGGTAGACAAAACCAGGCATTACTTATTGATCCTTCCTAAGCAACTCATCCAACCTCCCCTGAAAAAATTAGGCTCTTTTCACCCCCTTGGGAAACCATATTCATGTTTATACCACTTCAATGTCCTCGTACTTGCACTTTCCTGGAACTCGCCTTTTAGTACTCTTGTGTGCGCCGCCTGAGCTCATTCAACTCGGACTCTAGCTCTAGCTGGCGGGCTGAGGAGCGGCCAGATGGCAGCTCCGCGGGGCGCTGATGTGGCATGGGGGAAAGGGTGGGGGAGACAATGAAAAGCGAGGGGTGATGATGGAAAAGAAATGACATAATTAGGTGTGCACGCACAAGTATCATGCTCAATAGAGGAATCATGAAACGTGATTAGTAGGTATGCTCAAGGCATTGGTAGGTGTGAAACGTGATTTTTTTACTTTAGTTCGACAGGAGGGGTAGGATGGGGAAAGGTGAGGGGGTAAGAGAGGAGGGTGAGAGAGGGGCCAATGGAGGAGGCGAATGGAGGGAGCGAATGGAGGGAGCGGCATGGTGGAGAGCGAGAGAGAGAGTGTGTGTGTAAGAAAAGGGGCGGGTCTAGCAATAATTCACATGCGCGCAGGTGACTGCAAATGAATAATTCAAATCAAAGTGATTGCACATGCCTGTCACCTGTGCATGCATGCCCAACACAACTCACCCTCCCCCCATCCCCCAGCATGTCTCTCTTGAGAGCAGCCAGGTCATCATCCACAGAGCCAGCCTCCAACTGGGCGAACTGCGGACAAGGGGAGGCAGAGACCAGGGGGAGGGGGGAGGCAGGAGCCAGGAGGCGGGAGGTGGAGGGGGGAAGCGAGGGGAGGAAGAACCAGAGCTGAATGGTTAGTGGCGGTTGGGTAGACTGGCCTGGGAAGGTATGGGAGCATGCAGGCAGTTGTCATATGTGAGAAACATGATGAGGAGTGTGGTCAACAGAGGAGGGAGAGGAGAGAGGAGCTAGTCTGCACAGGCACAGGAACCCCAGGAAGTGTGTGCGGAGGTGAGAATGAAATCCCCAAGCTACCAAGGTACAAGCAGGCAAGCGAGCAATAATGGCCGGCTGACTACTATCCACAAGCCTGCAGAGTGGAGCGGTGGTTGACTGGTCACGAGTTAACTTTTGAGTCGACTCAAAAGTCGTCTCGCAGAATGGAGCGCTGGCTGACTGGTCACTGGTTGCCTTACCTTGGAGGAGAGGTCGTCTGCTGCCAGCAGGCCAACGGCATCCGACTCTGCTTCCAGTGCTATCACTGCATGGCATGCCATGCAACCGCATGGGGAGAGATGCGGAGGGGGAGCAGGGAGATGCATGGAGATGCATGGAGAGAGGGGTCAGTTTGAGGCGCCTCAGAACTAGGCTTCCCGGGGGTGGGCACAGGGGTGGGCACAGGGGTGGGCACAAGGAGCAGGGAGGGGCAACAACTAAAGAAGGATGGCAAGGGACTCCGACATAAGAACGTCCGGGTTAAGCCCTTCTCCCCCCCCCCGTCGTGCACCTTTCTCCTCCATCTTCTCGACGGCGGCCATGGAGCTGTTGGTGCTGAAAGTAAGAAAGACGAGTAAGGGTGCCTTTCCTCTCCCCCCCCACCCATTTCCCCCCCATCCCCTTCCCATGCCAAGCTCACCTTTCTCCTCCATCTTCTCAAAGGCGGCCATGGAGCTGTTGGTGCTGATGCCGCCCAGCATGTCGTTCACCTTCTGCTGGGTCCTGGCGACAAATGCACAGGGGAGATGGTAGGGAGGGTGGGGGGAGGGTGGGGGGAGGGAAGGAATGGTGTGAGAGCTGTTGGTGCTGATGCCGCCCAGCATGTCGTTCACCTTCTGCTGGGTCCTGCATTGGACGCAGGAGGGACGAGGTATGGAGTGTCAATGGATGATTCTTACTCAGCTCCTGCTGCTGCTGGTGCTGATGCCGCCTGGCATGTCATTCATCTTCTGGTGGTTCCTGGCGGGAGACACACAGGGAGGGAGATTGGAGGGAGGGAGGGGGGAGGGTGGGAGGAGGGTGTGGGGGGGAGGAGTGGAGTGGGAGCTGCTGGTGCAGATGCCGCCCAGCATGTCTTTCACATTCCGTTGAGTCCTGGCGGGAGGCACACAGGGAGGAAAAGGTGGCGGCTGGGGGGGGGTGATTCGGAGTAGGGAATGGACAGGGAGAGGGGCAAAGGCAGGAGCAGCATGGGGAACAAGAAATGCTGTGCAGGTCCACTGCACTCCAGAAGCATACACTCAATCGTCTCACCCGTCTCACCGGTATCACCTGTCTCCCGTCTCAAATTTCTCACTTGCCTCACATTTCTCACTTGCCTCACCTCTCTCTCTCACCTTTCTCACCTGTCTCACCTGCCTCACTTGCCTCACTGTCCGACCCTACTCACTTGGCAGACTGAGCGCGCGCCTTGAGGGTGTCCTTCTTTGCCCTCGCCTCCTGAATCTTGCCCTCAAGAATCTGACGCATTGGTTAGGGACGCAGGAGAGGTGTGAGAGAGAGTTAGAGAGGGTTCAAGGTTTAGAATATAAGGTCGCTTGTGTTGCACACTCGGCCATTCTTGCTGTCCCTAGCCTGCACTTGCAAGTTGCCAGCACGTTAATGCGTACGAAGCACTGCTCGAGTTAGAGAGAGAGTGGAGATGGGAGGCCGAAGGAGAGAGATTGTGAAGATGGGAGGAGCCAGGGGAGAATTAACTCTCACAAGTGTGCTCTACACTTCCCCTGGCTTCATAGATTCAGGGACGGGCAGCATGCAAGCTCATTCAATCACTGCACGCTGCTGGTACGCAGCACAAGTTTGCCACCAGATGCTTGCCACAAGCTGCCACCAGACGCCAGATTTCTAGCTTTTCTGCATCACTGCCCCCACTTCCCCTCTCTCACAAACCGTCCCTCCCTCCGTTCTGTCTTTTCTTCCCTGTCCCACTCCTCCACTTCCCTCCCCTCCCCTCCCCCCTCTCCCATCCCCCGCGCCCCCTCACCCGTGTGTTGCCTATGAGCTTGTCCACTGTGGCCTGCTGCTGCGCCAGCTGAGACTCCAGATTGCGAGCATTCTCCTGTGGTGAGTCAAATGCGGGAGGGGAGGGGAGTGGAGGGGAGGGGAGGGGAAGGGAAGGGAGGGGAGGGGAGGGGAGGGGTGTTTGAATTGCGTTCCGACACTTGTTGCTGTGCCACCTGGGACGAGCATTCTCCTGCAGGGGTGGGGCAGTGGAGTAAGATCTTTAGGCGCCTCAACTTTAGCTGAAACCCCAGAGCCCAGACTGCAGTGGAGGTGGAGGTGGGGGACTATTTGAAGTGGAGGTGGGGGACTATTTGAAATGGAGGGGGGGGACTATTTGAAGTGGAGGGGGGGGACTATTTGAAGTGGGCTCCAACGCGTGCTGTGCTGTTGTGCCAGCTGAGGCTCCAGATTGCATGGCAGGCATGCTCCTGCAGGTAGAAAACCGATCAACCATCAGAATATACTCTCTGCTGCACCAGACACCTGACCCTCTAAGACCTCTTCCGTCTCTGACCCCTCTATTCCCCCAACTCCCCCTCACACCTGTAAAACCTCTCACGCCTCCCTAACCGCCTCAAATCCCCCGAACCGCCTCACACCTGCCTCCCTCTCGCCCTCACCTCATAGTCCTTGCGTCGTTTCAGTGCCTCCTTCGCCAGCTCCTCCTCTCCCTTGGACAGAGCCAGCTTGGCGCGCTTGTACCTGCCACGTGGCACAGGTGCATGCAGCAGCCACGTAGGCGTTGCAGGGAGATAAGATTCTACCCCGTATGCGTTATAAGCAGTCATACACGGATCATAAGAGGAGGTGTTGCAGGGGAGAAAGATGGCTCCAAGCTGACCAACATGACATGGCATAGGATGGCATGGCATAAAATGCACAACCCGACAACAGCAGCATCATGCGCACCAGTCATCCGCACTCTGCTGGGCCGCCCTGTACTTGTTCTCCAGCTGCTTGGTGCTCGCCAATACCTGACATCACACAGTGGCATGGGATGGCACGGGATGGCAACACACGGCATGGCAACGCACGCAGCAGCCAGGGAAAGTCACATCCGAACCATGCTTGCAGCATAGCGAAGAACGAAGACCTATGCCAGAATGTGGTGCCACATATCCGTTTGAAGGTTCGTCTGGAGAAATAAACAGAAGTTTAAAACCACCTAACTTCCTCGCAAAATGCCCCTCCACTGCTCAACGCGCGCCCCCCCCCTCCCACCCCCACCTTCTTCCCCTACCTGAGCTTCACCGCAGCTCTTGCCCTTCCATTCCATCCCATTTCTCCATTTCCCCACACTCCCCCCTTCCCCCCACCCTGCCCCCCTACCGCCCCCTACCTGCGCGGTGGCCTGGCGGAGCTTCACGGCGTCCGTCTGCATGTCCTCCACCGCCTGGTCCAGAATCTTCTCGGGGTCCTCCAGGGAGCTCAGCGCCGCATTCGTGTACGACTGCACGCATGGAGTGACGGAGGGGAGGGGAGACAATTTCTCATTTTTGAGGCGCCGTAAGTACATCTTCCGGTCCAGTATCCTCTCAGGATCCTCTGTGGAGCTCAGTGCCGCATTCGTGTACGACAGGACGTGCGGAGGGTGAGGGGGAAGGGGATGTAGAGGAGGAGACGGGGGGTGAGGAGATGGGGGAACGGGAGGGATGGAAGAGGGAAGGGAGCGGGAACGGGAGAGGGGTCGTGTGCGGCGTGTTGGCAAGACATTAGGGGCAATCCGTGAGGAGAAATTGCGCCAAAGGTAGCAGAACCTCGCGCCATTGCCGTCAGCAAGCTATCAGGGGAGGTCCGTGCGTGAATACTACTTCAGAGACCCCGCACTCTGCTCTGCACTTCCCAGAGCCCCACTGCTATTTGAACAGGAATGAACCTTGGGGTTTGGTGTACAGTGCTCTGCGTGCTGATCATACTGTATCTCATGGCGCATTAAGCTTCACTTCCCTCGGGAGAAAAGGGTATGGTATCGGTCATACCAGTGGTCAAGCGGTCAGGCCAGGGTATTTCCTTTCCGGTGCACACCTTGAACGATTTTTGAGGCGCCTCAGACCTCGTCTCACCTTGACGATGCGAGCCACGCGGTCGAAGATGTTCATCTGCGCGTTGAGCGCGCCGCCCTTCGCGGCGGCGGCTGACGTGGCAAATGTCGCCGCCCGGAATGACGTGGCATTGGCTGTTGGAAGGGGAGGTAGTAGAGCAATTTACAAACTGAGACACGCGGAGCAGAACAGAGCAGAGAGAGAACAGAGCAGCTGCCTTGAAAAGGACCAAGAAAGAGTCTTATAGATATCCGCCTTCTGCTTTTTGATAGGGACACGGAAGGGAGGGAATGGGAGCAACTGGGTAACGTTTAGCATGGAAACGTGATAGCGGCGGTAACGGGTCACAGGGAAGGAATCTCATGATGAAGGGTAGGGTAGATGCGAATGGATGGAGGACATAAGTAAGAGCTATAGTAGTACTACAACCGCAATGTCAGCAGGAAGGCAGTTGCTGAAAGAGCGGCGACGCCTATACGCTGTAGTAATAGTCCCGACACATAGGATAGCCCACTTTTGTGAATGGAATGCCACACGGGTCAGACAATGCCTACGCCTACATCTGTCGATTCCTCCAGCTACATTGCACTCAACTAGCAATGGCTGTACCTCCACTGTAAAACGAGCTCTTCACGCCATGGCAAGGGCCGCCTCCTAGCAAAATCCTGACCCGCTGAGGCCCAACGGTGCTCTCTCGCTGCAGCCCCGCGACCTGATGAGCAGGAGACACCGCTGCGCGCGCTCCTTGAGCGACTGTTGCCATGGCTCTGGAGAGGGACTCACGCGGGAGCGGCTATGCGCAGTGGCAGAAAGAGTTGACGGGTCCTGCAGAGAGTTGAGACGGCCTACGGCGTACTACTAGCTGCTTGATCGGGTTGTGTGAGTTTCTGGCTGCGAATGCGGTTGTGGGAAGGAGAGGAAACTACACCTTTTCTCCTCTATTGTTTCACCCGGAACAGTCTAAATTCTAATCCCACCTACCAGGTTCTAAGCATAACTCGCGTTGACACTGAACCTGATTGGCTGCAGTCTGAACGAAAGCGAACAACCAAGTCGAAATTCGACAACTGCGAGTTTCCGAGCTGGGACGTCGCGCGAGTTTCCCCTTCAAGGTCCCGGTTTTTTTTTTTTGTTTTTTTTTGTTTTTTTTGTTTTTTTTTGTGTGTTTTATTGTTTCCTGTTTACAGGCTTAAAGCCCGTGCTAAAATTGTAAAACTAATTGGGAAAAACAGTGTACGGACAACTCCTGTGACTGGTGAAACTTGGACTTATGGATGGGTCATCTGTACGACTCTCCTCCTTCCTTTGCTCAACGAATGGTTCAGATGAGAGCCACGTCAGCCTTGCGTGGCGCCTCGGACTTCGAATTTACCGTAGCTTCTAGAGAAGCGGCGGCACCACGCGTGTCACTCGATAACAAGGGGCTCGAAGTACATACATCTCGTTTGCGTCCCTCGGTACCTAGTACAGTGTACATAGCGTGATTCGAAATATAAAAAATTGCAATAGGACTAACATGATTACATACAATTAAGGCATTACGTAAAATGAAACGAAAGCATGCCATTCACAAGCTCGCTACAAAAGGAGGAAATCTGGATGTGCGGTGACTTTCAAGGGAGATGGTGGCGGTGGGTAGGGAGGCGGTGGAGGAGTTGCAGGTGGGGATGACGACGGAGGCCTAGGTTGAGTCGAACAGTCGCTGAATTCCATGGCGCATGGTGGCTGATAGCATATCCCCGCGGGCATGCAGTGCACCGGTGGCAAGGAAACAGGCTCGATCTTTGCATTGGCTATGACCTCTGGCATGCTGTGGGGCTGGCACTGGGGTTGAGCAGAGGGTGGACTCACTTCAGCAACTGTAGTCAACCCAAGCTGCAGCCAATTTGGAGACACCGGACGGTCGGCAAGACAGACATTGGTGCTTTGTTGCTGTGGAATGGAGCTCGCACACCCAGTGTGGGGTTGTGTGTATCCAAGTCGCTCAGAGAAGTCCTGAGAGCTGGAGACTTCCATTGTGACTGCGTCTTGGTCTTGATTGTGCTGTAAACTGTCCCCCGAACACTTTGACAGCATGTCCAGAGTCATCTTTCCTTCTTGACTGACGTTGCTGTCTCTGCAAGTTGAGGGCTTTAACTGGCTCCCCTGGCACAAGTTTCTCGTGGTGACCTCTGAAAATACCAACAGCAGGAATTCAGGAATTGTCGTTTCAGGTTGCTGACAAAATTGCAGGAATAAAAATAGGTAATAGAACATGCCTTTTGTAGAATCATGGTGTGTTGCCAGGTCTGATGACAAGCTCCCTTCTGGTGTGCATGAGCTGTATTCTTCCCACAGCTGCCTCGTGTTTCCATCCCCAACACTGCTTGTAGCTTCAGGGACCAACTTAGGGTGAGCCGCCAAGGAATTGATTGGATCAGGGCCTTCCAAATCTTCATCCAAGCCTGGGCCTTCGACCGCCTGTGCCTGCTCAAAGTCACATGATTCCTCTCTCTGCAACGCTTCTTGAACAATTTCATGAAGGTACTGGAGGAAACCTAGAGCTCGAGCTCTTCCACGCTGATTCAAAGTATTTGGACCTGCCTCAAAGAGCCAATAACATCAAGTCAAATGCGTCCTAGAAATTTTGAGAATTAAGAAAATGAAACTGAAAGCTCACCTGCAAGCTCCTGGGGAGGAAAATCGGGGGCGAATCTCAACTCTCTGTCGACGTGCATACTTGCAGCCTTGTTGGCGAACTGCTTTTGCGGACGCAGGACCTCCCAATGACCTCGCACCCATTCTCTTGATCTTCGAAGAAATTTCTCATGCACAAACTTGATACTTCCAGGGCCTGCATTTACGTTATGAGTGGGAAGATAGTTAATCAGCATGCAACTGCTGAATCCGAAATGGTTTACCAAGCAAGTGCACAGCGACAAAGCCATTCTTCCATGAATGCACAGCGATGCCTTCCCACCATCTGTCACACCATCTGACATCAACAAGTTCCCCGTCTTGGAATGCACTTCCATCACAATCATGCAGCTGGTAAGGCCGAATACAGCTTCGATCAGAAACTCGGAAGCCATGCTTGTCAGCACCACCCAGTCGCCTCAGAAGAAGCCATTCCTGGATGTGTGCACGGATTACCCTTGGCATTTGCACACATGCAATTGCAAACATTACTACATCCTGCCTTACCTCCTGAGCCTCACTTGAGATGCTGGGGGATGTAAAGTAGCGCACTTTGACCTCCAGCGGCTTTGAAGAAACGACTTCAGCAGGGCGCCAACAAAGTCGTGACACGTCATCACTCAGAACTTCGATCAGACTCCCCACAGATGCGACCCATATTTCTCTCTTTCCCGTCCGCGCAAGCTCCCAAGGCTGAGTTTCACCCTCGTCTTCAACACGACCATCTGCTTCATCAGCATCCATATCTGAGTCAGAGATATTCAAGGATTGCACTGAAGAGCATTTCCTCCCAGGACTGTTTAGGCAAGCCAGCAATTTATGCTTTGGAACCCTCTGCGTCCGTGGCTTCGTCAATTTCTGGCCTGGCTTGTCATCTCGTGACGCAAGAACCTTAGCAGGTTCATCACAGCCAGCCTGAACCAGAGCACTTTGAGAGAAGTAACCTTGAAAGCTCTCAATTCGAACTCGGCGGATTTTACCCCCATCGACTTTCCGGTAGCACATGAAGCAGCTGCCTTTCCCGGGAGGAAGCAAGTTGGCCGAGCGCCGCTCAGCATAGTGCGCTTGGGATAAGACCATCACTACTCGCTTGACAGCTTCGATTGGAACAGCATCAGAAAACGCCGTGAAGAACAGCTCATTTTCTTGTGCATCAGGTACCTCCACATTGTAGTGGTCATTCAAGTCTCGTGAATTCTCAAACCACTGCAGGCTGGCCCTCGGATTAAGGTCCTTCTCGTATATCAGGCGCTTGAAATACGCAATTCGCGTGCGTCCGTTGCATGTCGCCTCCACGAAACTCCACAGCTGAAGGCATGCATGACCACACTTTAGAGAATGGCAGTCTTTCAGACAGCGGATAAGCTATATGAAACTTACCGCCACGTCAACTTCGCTGACTTTGACGGAAACTCCTTCAGGACTTGAGAAACCGTCTTGCATTTCGTGCTCCCTACACGTTGTACGGTCTGCTTCATTTGCAAGAACAGGCTCGTCTTTTACAGCATGGCCGGCCTCCGGTAGTGACAGGTATCCCGCCGCCCATTCATCCTTCGTTGCTAGTCCTGCAGAAAGAATTTGTCAAGGACCTTTGGGAAATTCCTGACATTGCACAGTTCATCCAACTTACTGCGTCGTTTGGCAGGCGGAGTCAATCGAATCAGGCTTTCAAGCCATCCCTCTAGTTCCCTTCGTGTGCGGTACTTAGATTTCGGAACCTTCTTCGCCCCAATAGGGTATCTGAAAGTCTCAGGGATGGTGAAGATCATGTGGCGTGCGCTGCGTTCAACACCAACTGCGGCGAGGACAATAGCACCGTCCACAGTCTGGAGGATGAAGTGGAGAAGTCGATTGCCTCGCGTCAGGCGAACAGGAACTTCCTGCCAGGAGACATAGAAAGGAGGCTTCCCACCCTCACGTTCGAGGGACATTTTTGACCGGGCCTTGTTGATGCCTGGCCTCTCTGGTCAGGAGGATGCCTGAATGCCTGACCTCGTTTGGCTACCTGGAGACTCTCTGACTCCCTTGTTGGGTCAGCATTTATGGGAGCCTGGATTTTGACGAGAGCCACATTTTATAGCCTCAAACCTCGGCTCGTCTGTTCTGGCTTCACCCAGGAAACTCCGCGAAAATCTGTCGCACACTAGTGCACAGTAGCGCGGCATCGAATATTGAGGTTCTGAAAATGTGGTACAATGGAATGACAGAAGCAAGATATAGGAACACCAGATCAATCCTATCCGCGTGATTGAACACATTCGGAGAAGGCATCCAGGGACGCGGAGCGCTTCGGAGTGACGCGGAATGGTTTGGTGCGACGTGTTCGGGCCAAAGCTAGGGCTAATGTCGGTGTCGTGTAGAGTCGGTGTACGCACTAAGGAATGGAAAATTCCTTTCACTACCCCCCCTCTAGCGAAGGTGATCTATATTTGCGACGTGCTTGCGGGATAAATAATCCCGGAGTACAGTAGGCGACTGTACTTGTCTTACGGGAGGTTTTATTTAGGTAGAAGAAAAGTGGCGAGAGAAAATAGATCATTAGAGAAGAGAAAGGGGGAACAAGATTAGAGATGTCTCCTCTACAGTAAGCACAAGTACTTTGTAGAACACCTACAAAGCCTACACAACTATATATATAATATATAACTTGACAACTTGTAACGAGGGAACCCACTTGTCGTCCTCGTTGGTACAATGGTATCAAAATTGGAGAAGTGAATAATGATAGAGTGAGAGTACACACAGATATACCTAAGTGTTGTACCCTCTAAGACGCGACCCTATACAGTTTATACAAACATGACAAATACACATGTTTGACACACCCCCTAGACTGCATAGGGGAATGTCCTAAACAAGCACCTCAGGGCGGCACTACTAGTCCAACCTCTGAGACAAGGGTCTGAGAGACCAGTCAGAAGGAGTACAGACAAGGCAAGAACAAGAGCAGGGCGGCCTACTAGTCCAGCCACTGGAAGAGGACACAAGTCCAGTCTGAGTATACGTATAAAGGACAGTACAAAGTCAAGGTCCTAGCAAGTGAGAGGCTACAAGAACTAGACCAAGCTGTACACAGTGCCGCTGATGATCTTTAGGCGCAAGCGCCTTCGTAAAGATACCAGCCGTGTTGGCACCTGAGGCCAAGTGTACTACGCGAGCCTGCCGTCGCTGCTGTAGCTCACGCAGGAGGAAGTACCGCAGCTGAATGTGCTTTGCTCTGCCCTCGAGTCGAGGCTCCTGACACAGGAGGATCATGGCCCTGTTGTCAGCGAACAGGACCGGGGCAGAGCTAGGCCGCTCACCTAAGTCAGTGAGCAAGAAGGTCAGCCAGCGGAGCTCCTGTGCCGCCATGGCACCAGCGTAGATCTCTGCCTCACAGCTGGACTGCGCAACAGACGAGGAGCGGGTAGCTCTCCACGAGACGGCACCTGAGCCAAGGCTGAAGCAGTAGCCCTGGGTAGACCTGAGTGTCTCGGCGTCGTCTGCCCACGAAGCGTCTGTGTGTCCAGTAAGGACCACTGGCCTGCGTCCTCCTAGCACTAACCCCATGCCCGATGTACTAGCAAGATAACGCAGAACCCTCTTAGCGGCAGACCAGTGCTGCGGTCGGTGTCTGCCTGTGGCCACAAAGCGAGCCAGGATGCTGAGAGAGTATGCGAGATCTGGGCGAGTGCAAGTCATCAGGTACATGAGGCAACCCACCAGCTCTGCGTAGGGGCCGCTGGGCTCTACCGACTCCTCAGACACTGGAGCGGAGAGTCTGTGGTCTACAGGCAGAGGGGTGGGCTGTGCAGAGGAGAACTGAAGGCTGAACCTCTGAAGGACCTGGCGCACCAAGTGTGACTGAGTCAGGGTGATGGTGCGCGCAGCTCTGTCCCTGGAGATCTGCAAGCCAAGGTAGTGGCGCAGTTCTCCAAGGTCAGTGCACGTGTGTCTCTTCAGCAGCTCTGCCTTCACGGAGGCCAGTGCGTCCCTGTCTGCTGTGGCAAAGACCAGGTCGTCGACGTAAACAAGGATGTAGAACGGAGTCTGGCCAGCACGAACGAAGAGTGAAGGGTCTGCAGAAGACGGAAAGAACTGCAGGTCAGCAAGCGTAGCACGGAGAGTGTCGTGCCACTCACGGGGAGCCTAACGCAGGCCGTAGACAGGGCGCCGCAGGAGCCACTGGGTCCCAGGAGGGAAGGTGCCAGTAAAGCCCTGAGGGCGACGCAAGTAGACCTGCTCGTGTAGGCTGCCCTGAAGGAAGGCAGTGGAGAAGTCGAGGGAGTGAAGCTCGTAGTCACGCTGAGCAGCTAGGTGTAACAGAACCCGAAGAGTAGTCATCTTCGGGGTCGGAGCGAAGTTCTGGAAGAAGTCCACCCCCTCACGCTGACTGAAGCCTCTAGCCACGTAGCGCGCCTTGAACACAGGCGGCTCTCCAGGAGGGCGCTTCACCTTGAAGAGCCAGCGGCCATCGACTACGTTCACCCCAGGTGGGGGAACTGCGTCGACGAAGGTGCCGGTGGATCTCCAAGATGTCATCTCCTGCTCCATGGCAGCTATCCACTGCGAGGCCCAGGGTCCCGAAGTCGCCTCAGCGTAAGTGCGAGGGGTCGGGATGTCGAAAGCGTCTGGGTCACCCTCAGGGACTAGCAGCATGGAACAGAGATGGGGAGCAGCCTCGGACAGGAAAGCAAGCTCGAACTGGCGGTCCTCCAGGACGTCACTGCCAAGGGCAGGAGCACCCGCGACAGACGGAGGACAGGCAGGGTCAGAGACCAGAGCGGAGGCGTAGTCAAGGCGGCGGGTAGAGGCGAAGTCAGCGACAGCAGCGACAAGAGCGTCAAGGCACGAGGCCGGAACAGACGGGTCGGTAACGAGAGAGGCAAAGACCCGAGGAACAAGGGGACGAACGGCACGAAGGTAGTCAGACAGAGGGGGGGGTGCAACAACAAGGGAGGACGGAGGAGGCGACGGGAGAAGAGGAGGACGAGACGCGTGGGAACGAAGCAACATAGGGTGGGAGCGCAAGACAGGCGAGGCAGGACGAGCACGGGGGGGACGGTGAGACCAGACGTGCGACGGAGGAGTCAGGTCAGGAGACAGAGGAGGGGACAAAGGAGGGGAACGAGGGGGGAGACAGGCAGGGGACGAGTCCGGTGGAGGGAAGACAGGGCCGTAGACAGGAAGAGGAGGTGACGGTCGGGGAGGAACCGACGCAGGGTCCGGGGACGGAAGGCCGAGCAGGCGAAGGGCTGACACCGGCGGGGACTGCTGCTGCGGCGGCACACCGGCGACACTTGGACCGCAAGCTGCTCCTCGGCTACCACCGGCACTCTCCACACAAGCACCCTTAGAGGGACCACCCCCAGGGCTACCGGGACGAGCACCCCCAGAGTCAGCGAACGGGTGCTGCGACGGCGGCGGCGGCGGCCGCGACAACGACGGCTGCAGCGGCGGCAGCGGGGGTGGAGGGGGGGAGTGGGGAGAGGACGCCAGGGGAGGGGCGGCCGGCGAGGACTGAACAGGAGGGCCACCAGAGTCAGAAGACTCCTCAACCGGGTCCACCGACAGAAGCGGGGTGACGTGGGACACACCAGAGGGGGCACGACGGGGAGGAGGGGGAGGAGGGGCAGGGACGACCGGGGAAGGAGTGACCAGGAACAGGGGGGGGGGTAACCGGGGGACCACGGTGGGGGAAGCGACGGTAGTAGGAGACAGACTCGTCAAAGGTGACGTCACGAGAGTGAAAGAAGCGGTGAGACGGCGGGTGGTAAAAGTGCCAGTCGGACGCGTCAAGGGGAAAACCGAGGAAGACGCAGGGAAGGGTGCGGGCAGTGAGCTTGTCCGTGCCGGAGGCACGAACTTGAGCAAGGCAGCCCCAGACGTGGAACGCAGACGCGTCACAAGGAGACCCAGTCCAAAGACGGGTCGGCGAAACCTGCGGCTGCTGAGGGCGCGGCCACAAGTTAAGCTGGTGAGAAGCGTAGCGCACAGCGAACGGCCACATAAAATGGGGTGCACCGGCATGGATCATGGAGGTGCGAGCCACCTCCATGACCAAACCGATGCGTCGCTCAGCGACCCCATTCTGCTGTGGGGAGTCTGGTAGGGTGAACGTCTGGGTGATGCCCTCCGCACGAAAAAAAAGCGACCAAGGACACCGGAGGCAAACTCGCCACCACGGTCTGAGTGAAGACGCAAGACAGGGAGACCGCGGTGGACACGCGCAGAGACAAGCCAGGGGATGAGAGCTCCAGGCACGTCGGCCTTGCGCTCCAGGGGAAAGACTGTGGTGTAACGAGTGAAGTCGTCGACAAGCACAAGGAAGTAGCGCTCTCGACGCGGCCCAGGGACCGGGGCGGGGCCCCAGACGTCCAGGTGCAGGGTCTGCAGCGGCGCGGCGGTAGGGGGAAACGAGGAGGAGTGAGGGGCATGGCGAAGCCGACCCTCGACACAAGGCGTGCAAGGTGGGGCTGGGGAGGAGGGAAACGCGGGGAGGGAACCTGGGAGACCAAGGACAAGACCGTGCTGGGACATGTGACGCAGACGCGGGAGTGCAGGGTGACCTAGGCGGTGGTGCCAAAGGAGGGTCGGGTGAGTGAGGGACCGACAGGAGCAGGCAGCAGCAACCTGGGTGAGCGCTCCAGCCGGGGGGGTCACGGTGTCCAGAGTGAACAGGCCGGACACCGGGTCCCGGGGGAACGTGGACAGGGGGGCACCAGTGGCGGCCTCGGTACAGACAGCATACCGCTCGTGACCAGGGAACGTAGTGGTGACGCCAAGGTCCTGGAGGCAGCCGACACCAACTAGGTTCCTGGAGAACGAGGGGATATACAGACCTGTGAGAGTGCCCGAAGGAACCGCCGGACAGGGAAGGGTGGTGGAACTGCGGGCGACTACCGGACCGCCGGAGGGGTCAGCAAGAGAAACGGCAGCTGGAACAGGAAGCGGCGTCAGGGTGGTGGAGTCGCGGAAGAAACACCGAGAAGCGCCAGAGTCCAAGGTGAAGGAAAGCGAAGCAGAGGCGTCTGGCGACGGAACGACGGCGGAAGCACCAAGACTACACAAAGCAGGAGATCCTACGCCTGACGCAGCAGGGGAGGCTAAGCTAGGCACACCTACACTAGGCAACAGTGAGTAATAGGCGGGAAGCACACTAGAGTCATCAGCATACATCACATGCAGAGCAGAAAC